ATACGATAAGCATGGCATGTTATCTTCAAAAGGAACACCGAGTTTGTGGTCAGCGTGATTATGTCAATGGTTTGTGGTTTGAAGAGATTTTTGAATGGGGAAAGAATCTCGTTGCCCAATTAATTGGACATGATGGAAATAATGGTCCATTACTTGTGTTGCGATGTTTGTGTGGTCATCTATCACAGATTGGGGATTCAGATATACTGCAACCACCATTTTTAATGTCTGTAGCGGATTCTCTCCAAGGGATGGCGAGCCTTGGTTCTTCCAAGTCGTTGATGTTTTGTTCTCGCTCTACCTTCAACCGCAATCGTCATTGTATGAATGTGGCGTTTGTGTTTCTTCATGCCTCTGTTTTTACGTCTCTGTCTCAGTCTTATTTGTCTCTTTTGAAGCGGGTGTTGATGGAAGACGCTGATTTATTTGACAAACCCCAATGCAAGAACATGAAAGAGATGCACAATGTTGACTCTTTCGTGGTGATTGTCTTCACGGTCAATGAGCGGTCTATGTTTTTGTGGCCATTACGGGTTCCCATGACCTTTATGCCTTGTTTTCTTCTCTGCACAACAGAATCAATATTGTCCTTTCCAGTGATACTAGTTGATTTAACCATTAGCGTTTCTCAAGGGATAATAGGAGCTATGTGGGGCCCAGAAGTAGGTTTCACGTCATATGATTGTTGGAGTGCAGTCGCTTGTGAATCAAGCAAGTGGTTGTTGTCCTTTTACTCCTCTTTTCACCTTGACTTTCAATATCTATGGGAAGCATTTATATGTGAATTTTTGGGAAACATACAAGTTGGGCAGAATTTCCAGCACCATCGGCTATGTCTTCTCGTAAGACGTGAAATTTTTTGGACCGAGGAAAACAAAGGTTTAAAACCACGTGGGAGTCTTTCGTTAGTGGTATACTGGCTTACATGGGGGAAATAAGGAAGCTCATCAACGTGCAGCTTGTGCAAATTAACAATGTTCCTTGTTTGGTTTCTTCTGAATGTGGTCTAGTGATTCCTTTTGACCCTTTAGTGGCATGTCCAATCATACCTGACAATGGGAAGTTCACTTTCTTGTGGCCACCGTGGCCACTCTACTTTTTTGGTTTCTCTCTTTACGTGATCACACCAATACAGGTGATGTTATGTTTTTACAATCCATTACTAGGATCTTATAAAGGACGATGGCGAGCTGTGCGTAACACTAAATTGGGGGAATACTGCGATGTGTGTACTAGTTTAGTTGGGCTTTTCCCCGATGTCATCAATGATCTAGCCATGTCTAGCCATGTCGGAGGCCTGGCTTTCTCACCACTACCAGATTTGGTGTTATGAAGCTTCTCAGTGGGGAACGGGAGCTGTTCGTAAGCCAAAGGTGGTTTCCACTTACATATCCATGTCATTTATTGGTGCTAGTGACATTGATTGTGAGTCAAGCAAGCTATTGACCTGTGGAGAGTTCAACTTACTCGTCGATCATTTTTCTGCAATGGCTTCCGTGTTCACGAATTCAATCATCATTGGAGTGTTGTTCTTTCGAGGGATATATCGTTCGCATAAGATTGCGTCTTTGTTTCTCTTTCACCCCGATACTGATTTTCTCAGCCGTTTTTGCACTAGTAAAAAAACTCGCTATAGCTAGGACACAGTCATCATAGTGTCGTGGCTTTTCTGAAATAAGTCACGAAAAAACCACGAAAAGGTCACGTAAGCGAAAAAAGAAAGAAACGTGACAATTTTGTAACAATTTTGTGGCAAAGTTATCACGTTTTAGTCACGTAAGTTGGTGTGGCAAAGATAGCCACCAAAAAGCCACGAATATTTGCGTGGCAACATAGGCACGAACAGTATTCGTGACTAAATCGTGTCAATGTTGTCACGGTTTATCCACGTTATCTTTCGTGACTATATCCACCACGGACGCTACAGTGCGAGTAGCATAATTGTCACGTTTTAGTCACGAAACAAACCGTGACAAACCAAAATGATTGTCCAACCACGGATTTCCTTCCACAAAGTCCCATCCCCTAGAGGCACAGGCGAATATATTCGTCTAATAGTCACGAAATGGACTGTGGCTTGTCGTGGCTAAAATTTTCTATATAAACAAACTTAGTTTTCGTTCATTTGAATCATTCAGCTCATTTTATCATCTATACACTACATATTCTCTTTCTTTTATTCTAATATTTTCGTTTCTATAAAGAAAGTTTACCAAAATGTCTCATTTTTTCCAATCGAGAGAGTGGATGGATCGACATATTGATACAGAAAAAGTTGTATATCAGAAGAGTTTATAGAGGGGATAAATATTTTTCTTACATTTGCTTGTAATCAAGCATCTTATCAAGAGCTTAACACTTTATTGTGTCTGTGTGCGCGGTGCAAGAATCGGAAGCAACGCGATGCAAGGACTGTATCTCGCCATCTCTTTAAAGTGGGATTTAAGGGGAATTACTATGTTTTGGTCGAGCTATGGTGAAAGTTGTTACGATGTTGGTGATTCTTCAACGGCTGGTTATTTTACCGGGGAAGCCGAGCAAGCAACATATTTATCAGTTCCGGCTGATGCATACGAGCATTATCAAAATGCAAATGTGAACGTGGGAGAAGATGTGCCATTGGACGATGTATTCGAGAATACCAACGAAGAGCCTTATCATGATAGCGTTTTTCAAGCTTTTGAAGCCACCAATCAACCTCTTTACGATGGGTGTGTAGAAGGAATTTCTCAGTTATATGTGGCTTCACGCATGATGAAATCAAAATCTGATCACAATATGTCAGCGGCATGTGTAGATGAGATATCACAAACTTTGAAGAGTGTTCTCCCGAAGCCAAACACAGCTCCATCATCATACTATGAGACGAAGAAGCTAACGAAAGCGCTTGGGCTACCAGTGCACAAGATTGATGTTTGTGAGGATAATTGCATGCTTTTTTGGAAGGAGGAAGATCGAGATCTGTTATGTTGTCGATTTTGTGGTAAAGACAGATACCACCCGAACAATGGCAGGGGAAAAATCGAGCTAGGCAAAGAATGTTTTACATGCCACTGGCAGAGCGGTTAAAGCGGTTATACCAATTAGAAGCTACTGCATCTCATATGTGATGGCACGCTGACCATGTCTCGCCTAAAGGAGAAATGCATCATCCGTCAGATGGAGCAGCATGGAAGCATTTTAATAAGGTGTATCCTGATTTTGCAGCGGAAAGTCGAAATATTTATCTAGGCTTATCAACAGATGGATTTAATCATGTTGGTATGAATGGCGAGGCACACTCAGTTTGGCCAGTGATCGTAACTCCGTATAATTTGCCTCCCGATATGTGCATGAAAAGGGAATATTTCTTTCTACCGATTCTAGTTCCTGGGCCAAAACACCCGAAGAAAAGTCTTGATATTTACCTTCAGCCGTTAATTGAAGAATTACATAGTTTATGGAGCAATGGTGTGGAAGCGTATGATATATCAAGAAAGCAAAGATTCAAAATGCAAGCTGCCTTGATGTGGACCATCAGTGACTTTCCAGCGTATGGTATGTTGTCTGGTTGGATGACACATGGCCGTTTAGCGTGTCCATACTGTCTAGATGATACAAAATCGTTTTGGTTACAAAATGGAAGGAAGCACAGTTGGTTTGACTGCCATCGAATGTTTTTGCCGGATGATCATCTTTATAAGGGAAATACTCAAGCGTTTAGCCGGAGAAAGTCAATAAGGGAAGATCCTCCACCGTGGTTAAATGGCGAAGAAATTCTTCGAGAAAGAATATGCAACATTGTGGGGTTGTACAGAACAGTCGATTGTGGAGGAAACGGACACGAGAAGCCCGCTCGAACTATATATGGCTATGGGAAGGATCATAATTGGGTGAAAAGGAGTATTTTCTGGGAGTTACCGTACTGGGAAAATCTTCTTCTTCGACACAACCTCGACTTCATGCACGTGGAGAAAAATTTCTTTGATAATCTCATCAACACGGTGTTAAATATTTCCAAGAAGACAAAAGACAACATCAAGTCGAGGTTGGATCTCTCTGGTTTGTGTAAAAGACGTGAGCTGCATCTTAACGAAGATGGTACAATGCCTGTGCCAATTTTTTGGCTCTCGAACGAAGATAAAAAACAATTTCTTTCATGGCTGAAAAATGATATAAGATTTCCAGATGGTTACGCCTCAAAGTTTAGTCGTTGCATTGACGAAAACAATTTGAAGATATCGGGTCTGAAAAGTCATGACTGCCATGTCATCATGCAACGACTTCTCCCATTTGCGTTTTCAGAACTCCTTCCAAGAAATGTGCACACTGCAATTTCAGGTAACTGCTTTTCCCATTTGATATTTCTGGTAACAACTTCTCTCATTTAATTAATATTATTATATATTTGTAGAGATAGCACTATTCTTTCGGGATATCTCGTCAAGGACTTTACGAGACGAGGATGTTGCTCTTTTGAAATCAAATATAGCGGTAAAACTTTGTAATCTAGAGAAGATATTTCCTCTGTCGTTCTTTGATGTCATGGAGCATCTTCCGGTGCACCTGCCAGATGAAGCTACTTTAGGTGGTCCAGTCCAATATAGGTGGATGTATCCATTCGAGAGATACATGTATCATCTGAAGAAAAAGGTTAAAAACAAGGCGCATATATCAGGTTCGATCGTTGAACATTGTTTGAATGAGGAGATTTCGAATGCAGCCGGAAATTATTTTGGAAATCCCGAAGTTGTAGACGAACCTGCAGTTCCCGGAGAGATTCGATTTACATATTACTATCCAAATGTGCCAAGCATGTTCTATCATGAAGGCCGAGTTAGTGGAAAATCCACAACTGGATGGTTGACAGATAAAGACTACACCGTGCTACAGATGTTTATGTTGCTTAATTGTGACACATTTGCACCATATGAAAGGTATTATATTTACTTTACATATATTTGATTAATATATAATCATTTTTATAGTTGTGTAACTATATAATTTCATAACTTACTCAGGATGTTTGAAGAGTATATGACAGAGCGTAACCCAACAATTACTAGTAATGCACTACAATTAGTGAAAGACCAACAATTTGCAGAATGGTGTAAAGATTATGTGAGTTTCATAAAGTTATTATCTTTGTTAATTATTATCAGGAAAAAATGAGTATCTAAATACAATTTTATTTGCAGATTAACAAGGCTACCGAATCATATGAATTTCCTATGTGGATGTTTGATTTTGTTCAAGGTCCGAGAAGAAATTATACATCTTGACCTATATACTTGTCACGAGGATACCGCTTTCACACGCATGCCCATGGCCAAAATAAGAAAACTCAACATTACAGTGTATATGTTAAGGGAACCACTGATGCTGATTATTACGGGCTCATTGAAGATAATATGATGATTGAGTATCATGGTGCCGTTGGGCTCAAAGCCATGATTTTCAAATGCAAGTGGTTCAACACTACAGAAGGCCGTGGATTTCGCAAACATCCTTAAGGTATCGTCGATGTGTCTCCGCGTAGACAATATGACAAATATGATCCTTTTATATTATCTGGTAATTATGATCAAGTATGTTTTATCCTTTATCCACACGTTCGTCGGTCCTCATCTGATTGGTGGGCCTGTACATAAGTTATGCCACGAGAGTTTCGTGAAACTTCTGAAGTAGCTCTATAAGCGGTACAAGATAATACACACGACCAGGTTGTAGCAGCAAGTGCAATGATACGAATTGAATCGCATGTTGTGGAAGATGCTTCTGATTATGATATGCAACTTGTATGTCCTCCAAATGATGAATACATATCGGAAGATGAATTAGAAGATTCGGCAAATGACTCTGATTCTGATACTGATTCTGATTGTGGTTCTGATTAAGTTTTATTATATCTTTAAGCATATGTATAATTAAACTCTATTTTCTAAATATTATAATAAAACTAAGATTTTCCGAATGATGTATTTAGTTTTAAGACTACAGTTTTAAATAAAACATAACTAAATAAAATCAAATCCTAAGCCCTAAAATCAAACTCTAAACCCTAAAATCAAACCCTAAACTTTAAAACCAAACCTTAAACCATGTAGCCACGTTTAGCCACAAACATTTCGTGACAAATTAGTCATGACTAGAATTCGTGACTAAATCGTGACAAGTTAGTCACTGTTTATCCACGTAAAATGTCGTGACAATTTTGAATAATTGAACAACACGGGAGCTGCATCCAAAACGTCTCGTCAACCAGAGAATCAGAGCGAATATAATCAAATATTTAGTCACACCATTAACGCGTGGCTCTTTCCATGGCAAAATAGTCACGATTTAGTCACAAATATACCGTGACTATCCAAAATACTAATTTTTAAGTATAAATAGAAAGCTTCTCCACAACTTTATTCTCATTCTAAAAGTTATAGAGAAGCATAAAAAATCTAAATCTCTTTCTTAACCGCTCAGTTTCTTCTATCTCCTCGTTGTCATCCCTCTCTTTTCCCGCATTGCCATATCTGAGTCATCTTCCTCCTACACGCTCCCGTCTAAGGAGGCCCAACCTAAGGTTTGCAGCCTTAGGCTAACCCAGGTGGTAGTGCATCCCCCAATTCCAATGCCAAAGCCCCACGGCTTTTCCTCGGCTTACACTTGCAGAACCACCATTGAAGAAGAAGCCATCTCGCCGCTCCCAATGCCGTCGCCGCTTAGGCCAATGTGAGGATGAGTATATTATAACTTCTGAAAACTTAGTTTTACAAATATTTTTCAAGAATACCTACACTTGCATAGTTGACATCTAACTTGTAACCTTTTTCGTGCTAAACAGGTTCCATACTCGTGAAACGGCTAGAAAACATGTTACACCCACAAAGTGGGCATTCTCGCGATTCAACAGAGCTTCAACCTCACAGGTCCCGCAAATGCACAAACGTGGACACGCTCACAAGCACCCGTTACCTATGGTTATGCCTGGAACCTTAGAACGTTATCCGAGAATAGAGCAGGGCAGGCGTTCAGTTCAGCAATACCATTTGGACTATGCACTTGATGCAGAAGCCAATGGTAAAGCTGTTTGTTGCTTAACTCACTGTGCTATGAAATTCTGGGATGGACTTAACAAGGAAATCTGCGACCAGGTTCCTAGTCCGACTAAGGACGGGAGGTGCAAGCGGACTAAGAATGTTCTCGAACTTGCTAAGGCTGCTGAGAACGAGATCCAAGAAGAACGAGAATGTGACTTAGAAAATTTGGCAAATGACTCTGATTCTGATACTGATTCTGATTGTAGTTCTAATTAAGTTTTATCATATCTTTAAGCATATGTATAATTAAACTTTATTTTCTAAATATTATAATAAAACTAAGATTTTCTGAATGGTGTATTAAGAACAAACCTTAAACCCTAACATCAAATCCTAAACCCTAAAATCAAACCCTAAACCCTGAAATCAAACCCTAAGCCTTAAAACCAAACCTTAAACCCTAAGATCAAACCATAAACTAAAAATTTAAATTGAAAATTTTATCCTCAAAATTTTGTTAACACTTGCATATTTTTTTTATAGGATTATACCCTAAACCCTTAAACTCAAACCCTAAGTCCATAACACAAACCCTAAACTCTAAAGGATTTAAATCAAAATTATAAAGTTTAAGATTATAAATATAAGATATAAACTAAAAATTATAAGTTTAAGATTAAAAATTTATTAATATTATAAGTTTAAGATATAAACTAAAAATTTAACTGACTTTTGTAATAAATTTAGAATTTAACTAAATTTTGTTTCTTATTACTATAAAACTAACCAAAATTTTTATATTTTTTAATTTCAGATTATAATTATGATTACTCTAATTTATATGTACTTATAATAATATTTAAGTATAAAACTTCTCTAATTTTTTGATTAAATCATGCACAAAATTATTTAAACCACCAATTCAGATTAAATCATTAATTTTTTGGTTAAACCACCAATTCAGATTAAACCATTAATTTTTTGGTTTCCCTCCAATTAATTTTGGTTGATCCCACCAAATTTTGGTTTATCCCACCAAAACCATTTTACCGAAATATTCGACCCAACACTTAACAAAAATCTCTATCTGTCTTCTTCGTCTTCTTCCTCTCGAACCTTCTTCATTCCTTTGTCTTTTTCGTTTTCTTCTCCAGCTTCTTCCTCTCGATACCTGTCTCTATCTCTTGTTCGATTCCTAAATCCTAAACAATCTCTTGCTCTTCGTCTCGTGTCCTAACGATCTCTTTTCTCTCTTTGTTGATCTCTCTTTGTCGATCTCTCTTCTCTCTTTGTCGATCTCTCTGCATCGATCTCTTTCAATGGCTCCTCCTCGCCAAAACCGCCGAAATCCAGTCACCGCCAACAACCACGACTCGGGTAAGTGTTCTGGATCTATAAAAAATTAGGGTTTCTCGTTTTGCTTGAAGATTGGATTAGATTTAGGGTTTTGATTTGGGGTTTCTTTTGTGTGGCTAATTTTCGTTTGTTTGGAGTTCAAATTGACTTTTGATTAGGGGTTTCTTTTGTGTGGCTAATTTTCGTTTGTTTGGAGTTCAAATTGAGTTTTGATTTGGGGTTTCTCTTGCTTGAAGTTTCAACTAGAATTTGGGTTTGGAATGGCTCTTGCATGTTTGTGTTTGTGTTTAGCTGTGAGTAATTTTCGCGAAACTGTTACTAATTTTCGAATATATTCATAAAACTGTCAATAATTTCCATAAAATTTCACTAATTTTTCAACGATTTGTTCTTATATGTTCGCTCACATTATTGTTCTTATGTGTTTTCTCACATTATTGTTCTTATGTGTGAGTGTGTATTATGTGTTTAGCTATAATCTTTAGTGTGTGTGTGTGTGTTTACCGTAGTGAGTATGTTATTGTTCTTCACACAAGTTAAGTTAGGTTTTTGTTGTTTTGACAGGTCATGCCATACCACCAGGAGCTGTAGGGTCTAGAACCTCTTCAGGTCCTCACTCGCCACCAGGAGCTGTTGGATCTACAAGTGGTCCTGCCACGCCACGAAGCGCTTCATCTTCAGGTGCTAATAACTACAACCGTATGACCCTAGAAGCATTATTGAGTGCTCCCTCCAGAGAGCTTCAGCCACACCTCCATCCAAGGAAACTCAATGGCGCTTTATGGTAAGTTCTCTACAAAACCGAGTCCTCTTATTTCTTCTTATAATGTATTGTATTCTCTGATTGTAGTTCTTCTTGTCTCAGGTTCGGTGTAGACCCCTCTGTCCAATAAATTTATCCGAACAACATGGAAAGCCTACTACATAGGACCATGGAGTAGCTGGAAATTTTTTCCTCAAGAGAGGAAAGATAAGTGGTGGCAGACTTTTGTGGTAAGTGTTGTACTTGTTTCAGCATTATTTGTTGTTTACTTTTACGGTATTACAAATATTAATGTTCATTGTTTTCATTGTAGCAAAACTACTACTGGGAAGATTGTTTTAAATCTGAGGTGTACCATCTTTGGAAGTTGCACACACAGACAACAATATGCCAAAAGATCAGTAAGATGAAGAGACTGAACTAGAAGCCTAAGTTCATAGGCGAATCTGACTGGATCACTCTGCTGGAGTTTTGGTTAACAGAACCAGCCCGTAAAAGGAGCAAGTCAGCCGCTTCATCTCGCATGACACCACAAGGTGAGAAAGGGGTACACAAGCATTGTGCAGGTCCTCAAAACTTTTTAATGCATGGCTAATTTGTGATTAATATTGCCACGAAAAGTTGTGACTAATTTGTGGCTATATAGACACGAATAAATGCGTGGCTAATTCGTGACTAACTTAGCCACGAAATGCACCAGTGACTAATTCGTGGCTATGTAGCCACGAAAAGTCACAAAATACATTAGTCACGATTGTATAGCTACATTTTTTTCGCGTGACTTTTCGTGGCTATAAGACCATATAGCCACGGTATTTTTGCGTTAGTCACGAAAGAAACAGTGGCTATAGCCAGTTTTTTACTAGTGTTGGTGCCCGTCGTGTCCTATTAGCATGGTTATGTGTTCATTGTATCATCGTCAAGCATACAATCATCATGTGCTTACAACCAGAGCGTTAGGGAATATGCTGCCTTATTTGATTGGTAAAAGCAGTCGGTGTTGGAGTACAAAGCTTGGTCATGCCATATTGTCACGCAATAATTCCTTTCATTGCAGTCCTGGTTTTAATAATCTTCGAGGGATCGGGGGACTAGTTCCTTACAGGCCGCTGGCTTTATCAACTTGGCTTTAGAAGCTGTTGGTTTCCGTACAGTAGAACTTTGGCCCTTTCGAGACAATGAACATCACCTGATCTCAGCTCCGGAAACTACATCGTCTACAAATCCTCCTTATAATGTGAGCCGAGAAGAGCAAGCTGTGGCATCAAGAGGAAGAATTACTTCATGTATATTATTATAGACTGTGCTTAAAGATGATCGTGCTACTTGTGCTGCCGATACCATGGTAAGATTTACA